GAAGGAGAAAGTAATTTTTTGTGACTTAAGTCTCAAAGCAACTGGGAGTCCTTTTGTCTTTATTAATCTCTTGCTCCAGACTCGCTTCAGTAACATGTAAGGCACTTTGGCTTGTAACTCTTCTTTTTAGGAAGAGAAGGAACTGAGGTTGGTTAAGCCAAGGCATCTGAGCCAGCCCTGGGTATGGAGGCATGAGAAATGAGGACACGATTTCTGGGAACAGTATCCCGAAGATGCTGTTAGCAGGGTGGCTTCTAGTCAGCACAGAACATTGGAGAAAGGCTGGGAAAGTTCCTATCATGTGGAGGCAGGGCCCTTGGGACAGTGGTTCATGTTTTGGAGTAGGGGGTCTTCAGGGTATTTCTGAGGTGTTTCTACTCATCACTTTCTTTGGATTTATAGATTACCCTGTTGGGGATAAGAAGATGAATGACAGTAAGACCCTGGAGAAGGGTGGGCAACCTGCTAGCTATGGATGGCAAGCAGGTTGGGGAAGACGTGTTTTCTAGTTGACTTTGTCCAGGTATTTTATCTGCAGTACTTCATAGTACTGCACATCTTATAGGCTCCTTCCTGGGAATCTGGTATTCTGAGGAGAGAGAAAAGGGGGAGGGTATTGCTTATTCATGGCTGCCATAACAACACCACAGACTAGGTGGTTAAACAACAGACATTTCTCTTCTCACAGCTCTGGAGGCTGGAAGCCTGAGGTCAGGATGTGGAAGGGGTGGCTTCTTCTGAGGCATCTCTCCTTGGTTTGCAGGTGGCTGTTCTCTTCCTGTGTCTTCACATGGTGTTTCTTCTGTACATGTCTGTGTCCAAATATTCTCACAGAGGGACAGCAGTCACATTGGATTAGAGTCTATTCAAAGGACCAACTTTTAATGTAATCAACTCTGTAAAGACTTTATATCTAAATCTAGGCACATTCTGAGTTCCTGTAGGTTAGGACTTCAACTTAATGACTTTTGAAATGAGAAGGACGATTGAGCCCATGCAAAAGGGAATTGGCATTCTACCAAGTTCAAGTTTAATTTTATAACTACTCTTGAACCCTGATTGCCTTGTTGAGGTTCTTATCTTTGAGAATGGATCCAGGCCATGAGAACTGTTCTTGAGCATGTGCGTGTGCATCAGAAAGGCTTGAATGAATGTAACACAACTTGGAGGGTCATGATGATTGTCACAGATAAAGTTTTAGTGCTGAAGTTGTGCCCCTTATCTACTTCTAGAGTGTATAAGACTGATGCCCTGAGAAGAAGGGTTGAATAATTACTTGGGACAAAGAACTCAGTACCTTCTTGTTGGGGGGTTTCCTGTTTAGGCTAATTTGAGATCCTTTGTATTAGCATCGTAGTTTCAGTCTGTTGGGGCCAATTTCTACAACCCATGTCTCCTGTTTTAGAGCAATGGATTCCTTAACTAGCTACCAAAACAACAACAATCTCTTGCTCTTGAAATCAGTCTTAAAAAAACATACAGAAGAAACTCAAGACTAAATTATCTATACTTCTCTAAAAGATTTTTTACTGTTTAGATGACATGTTCCTGGCTAGCTGAGCACCAATCTAGCGAATGAACTTCAGCTCATCCATATACTGACAGTCTGGGTGACTGCAAAGTCCTCCCAGCTGAGAAGTTAATGCTGAACAAACTGGCCTGAGTTCTCTGTGGCTCTTAATTTTGCTTGTAGTTCCCTTGCCAGAGCGCAAAAATCACTATTTTCATCACCTTCCTGGGGACATCTTCTGATGACTCACACTGGGCCCCTCTTGTGCATCTGAGTGCACAGTGGCATCTCCCCTCTGTGCCATCTGCTCTTCTATACGCTCTGAAGATGAAAAACAGAGTGGAGCGCAGCTTCTTGCTTTCTCTTTCAACTACTATTCAGTTGTTTTGGTCGAGATAAGCTGTCTTAAGACCCATGTTTCCACCTAGAAGGCTCGTTACATTATTTATTTATTTACCTTATTTATTTGCCCAAGAAAGCAGAAGCTATGGATGGCAAGCAGGTTGGGGAAGACGTGCTTTTCTAGTTGACTTTGTCCAGGTATTTTATCTGCAGTACTTCATAGTAGTTTCTCTGACTTCTTGACATCAGCTGTATTTATATAAGCTTATCATCACCGGGTTGGTGGTCAAGATGGCACTTAAGCTTCAGACACTGTGACGTGAAGAATTCCACATAGTGGGGATATTCTTATCTCACTTCAGCTTTAACTGTAAAGAACATTAATTAAGATTGTGAGGCAGATTTACCTAACCCTCAGGGAAGAAAACCCATTTAATAGGCTTTAGTTTTCTTGCTGCTGCTACTGATTCTGAAACTAGGATTCATATGATTAATTGGTTCCTTGTGGAGTAGCTCTTCTGCCTGTTACACACGGTACTTAGAATAAAGTTAATATGGAAAACAATCAAACTTTTCACATTGTAAGTATTTGATCATTGTTAAATTAGTTAGATAAAAACTGATTCCTGGATAAACAAAATGTGCTATATACGTGCAATGGAATATTATTCAGACATAGGAAGGAATGGAATTCTGATACATGATACAATATAGATGAACCTTGAAAACATTATGCTTAGTGAAATGACCCAAAAGGACAAATATGTGGTTCCATTTCTTTGAGGTCCCTCAAATAGGCAAAGTTATAGAGATAGAAAGCAGAATAGTGGTTATCAGGGACTGAGGGAAAGGGGTAATGGGGACTTACTGTTTAATGGATACAGAGATTCTGTTTGAGAGGATGAAACATTTCTGGAAATGGATATTGGTTATAGTTGCAAAACATCGTGAATGTGCCTAATGCCACTTAACTGTACTCTTAAAATGTTAAATGGAGAATTTTATGTTATGCCATACGAAACATTTAAAAAAAATTGATTCCAAAGCAGGAAGGCTATATGACTTCTACATGCAAACATAAGTTTAAACCTGAGCTTATAAACCTCCTGAGGGCAGTCTTTCTGTGGTCTGCCCCGAGTCAGCAGCAGAGCAAACCTTCACTCCAGGCTGTGGCAGAGACCAAAGTCTCAGACAGCTGTAGCCTGATTCCCACCCAGCTTTTTGTTGGGAGAAATGATCATATTTATGGGAAATATCTCATAGGATATGGAGTTCATTGTTCTTCCAGAAACTCTTCTTTTTATCCCTGGATCCAGGCAACTGCTGTGTGCTTGGACCCCATTTTGGCTTTGTATCTGGCCCTGAGGGAAGCGACAAGAAGCTTTATAGGAGACTCCCTACTGTGTACACTTAGAGGCACTATTAATTATTACTGACCCCCCCCCCACACACACACACACCTCCCAGTGTGGGTGACAAAGGATACTTTAAGAATTTACCCAAGGAAGGGACACTTTGGGAGAAATTTCTCAATGGTAAGAAAAAGCTAGGCAATATGTACATTGTATTTCATCTAAACGTGAATGTGATTATCTTGTGTCTGTTTTCTTCTTTGCTTTGGCCACTAGGATACTCAGAGCCCAATTTATAACCATGTCAAGTAACAGTTTACTACTTTATAACATACATTTCTGTAGGCCAACTTTTCCTCATACTCTTGTAGCCCTTTTTTAAAACGTTGTCTTCTTTATATAGTATACATATATTATAAGTGACATTAGATGGTGTATATGTATGCTCATACGAGAGAGAGAGAGAAAGAGAGAGAGAGAGAGAGAGAGAGAGAGAGAGGTTTATTTTAAGGAATTGACTCACATGAGTGTAGAGGCTGGCGGGTTTGAAATTTGCAGGGCAGACAGCAGGCTGGAGACTCAGAGGAACCTCAGTCTTTACTCTTGAGACTTTAGCTGATTTGATGAGACCCACCCACAATATGGCGGGTCATCTGCTTTACTCAACGTAGTTCATCACATCTAAGAAATATCTTTACAGCAATATCTAGATGTGTTTGCCAAACAGCTGGGTACCATAGCCAGCCAAGTTGAATAAACACATACAATTAACCATCGCAGCCCTGGTTGGTGTGGCTCAGTTGGTTGGGTGCTGCTCTGTGCACTGAAGGGTTGCCCATTTAATTCCTGGCCAAGACACATGCCTGGGTTGCTGGCTGGAGCCCCAGTGGAGGACATGCAAGAGGCAGATCGGTGGTTCATTCTCACTTCGATGTTTCTCTCTCTCTCCATCTCCCTTCTTCTCTCTCTAAAAATCAATTAAAAAATTAACCAACACAGTTAGGGATATACACTGAGTGGCCAGATTATTATGACCATCCCATCAGTACTTCATTGACACTTCCAAAAATACTGAATATTGAAAACTTCCTAAGCAAATAGTCTCACGGTTTTATTATTATTATTTGCATAACTAATTCACTTCATTGTATTGATGAGGTGGTGATAATAATCTGGCCACTCAGTGTAAATATATAATACAATTTTAAAAAATTTGGGCATAATTGTTATTTGTTTTTTCCACTTGCTTATTTGAGTGCATGTAGAAAAAGTTTCCAATTTCCTCTCACCTCCTCATCCAGATCCAAGCCTCATGTTGTCATTATTTCATCAGCTTGTAGGGCTGCCTTCCAAAGCAGGTTGGT